TACACCCCTTTGAAAGACAATTAATCCTTTCCTGGATTTAAACTTTGGTAGTTTAAATTATATTGCTTTCTTAACAGATAAGAAAGCAAACAGGTAGAAACCTTAGTTTCCCTTACTAATTTAACGACTGTTTGCCAAAGGCGAGATTAAATGAGATACGATTTTCTCCAGAGTGGGTGTAAACAACTTTGCTGAAGAGAACAGTAGTGTGTTTTCGCTGTTCTGGAATAAAGAAGGCGCCCGTCTCCAAGCGAGCGTGAAATAACACGAGAATTGCATAATCCCTTCGAATTACCTACCGGCAACTTCTACGATGTCTCCCGGAACCAAATCCCTTGCTTTTATTCTCTGAATTCCTGGTTTGTTTTGTCTCAACACTTTTGCTACTTCTGGTTCATATTCCTTTAAAGCTTCGATTGCACTTTCCGCGTTTCTATCCTGAAAAAAAAAAAATTCATTAAGAAACTACGCCGTCAAATTGTTGTCAGAAATGAAAACCGCCATGGCTGGGAAAGCTAAAGATTGGAGAAGCACTCACTTGCCAAACACCAATGATTGCGTTTATTATCAGAATAACAAGAATTACGAATGGTTCTACAAATGCTGTGGTTCTGTCCTCCCCTTCCTCGAACAACGCCAGTACCTGGACAATAGAAAAATCAAGTATGGCAGATCAAGAACATGGCTGATCAATCGATCGCATACGTACAGCTCATCAATTTATTGTAACAGAAATACGAGTGTATTTGTAATGAGTAAATAAACTTACGAAAGAAATCACTGCTGCTGCCAGAAGAATTTTTATAAGTAAATCATCGAACTGCTCTAATACAAGCTTCCAGAGTGGCTTGCCTGAAAATTAAATTACAAAGACCATGAGTCGAAGATGCTGGAGGGAGCAAACAGCTGATATTTTCTACGTAGAGCCAAGTCAAGAACTCTACTGGAAACATAAACAATTAACTTCGCGTTTTCGACACGAAACTCACCTTCTTCCGCTGGAAGTTCTGTCGTTTCATGACATGAAATGAGACAATAGAAAGATCGTTATTAGCGCTTAAAAGAGTCTTTAAACTTGTAACCAAAGATTAGAGGAAAGTCTCTCAGATGGTAGTGCATGATCGGAATAAAATCATACAAAAAGCTATCATATATTTGGATAAATATCATCAACGAGACATCAAATGCGTTAAATCGCTACAGATGAACAATATCTAGCTTACCGTTTGGTCCGTACTTTTGTTGAGCAAGCGAGAGTTCTTCTAAACTCAAACCTTTGGTTTCACTCACGGAGAAATGATCCAAAACTTCCGACGCCGGTAAAGTGTGAGCCAGCTCCATTGTGACACCAACGAGAAAGAATTCCTTCAATATCTACCTTTTAAAGTCTCAGGTGAAAGTTAAGCAGCCAGTGGTCTTTTCGCAACTTAGGTTTCAAACTTAGTAACACATTTTGAGAAAACTAACGCCGTTAAAGGCTTGTATCCGCTTCTAGCAAGCGACCCTTCGTGAATATTGACTTGAACTTCCACGCGGCCTGGACGCGGCTCAAGGTTATTGGTTTAAACTATGTCACGTGATGCACCCCGCAAACGCCAAAACGCCGATGTACTTCCGATTGCCCTCCACTGGATCGTAGTGTATCGACGAAAAGCTAACGTGGCGAAGCCGAATTGACCATCGTAGTTGCGTTTGTTGAGGACAAAAATAAAAGTTGCGTGTCATGGCCAAGTCTCTGATTTTCCAAAAATTTGCTGTGACTGCAAATAGCATGGTGGGTGAGCCGCGCCGGTATTTCCCAGTTCACAGTAACATGACGGCAAGCGATTGAGTTTCATAATTTGTGACTCTCACAAGTTATCACAAGAACACAATTTTTCTCTCACAATCCTAAAATAGTTCTCACACTCACAAGGTATCACAATGGCGCACAAGCGAGTATCAAGTGAGTTAAATCAATCGAATCAAACGGAACGAAAAACTGCCTGAAAACGTACTAAAATCGAACACAATCGAAATCCAATGTTTTGGTGAGTTCGATTACCGAACTCAATCGAACCGATCGAACCAATCGGTTCGATTTTATTCTAAAGAAATAG